ACAATAATAAAAAGGAATAATAAAAAGAAAGTAAGGAAAGCCATTAGGGAAAAAAACAAAGTAATTCAAATATAGGTATGGGCATATAATGAAGATATTGGATAATTTATGGCCCAATAAAATTTTGGCTATTTTGGAAGGTGGTTATTTTTCTGGAAGTTATACTGAATGTGCTGCTATGGCTGTACGAGGTTTACGAGTAAGTATTAATTTTTTTTTTAAATTGGTAAAAGGAAGGTAAAATTGAAGAAAGAAAAAAAATGATAAAAATATTTGTGAGAGAATGGTATCAATCAGGTAATTATCCGATTTATATTGCTGATAATTTATCTGACTGATAATTCACTTATCGAATGTAAATTTATTAAATTTATTAAATTTCATTAAACAATAATGCATCTTGCCAAGCAGTCTGTTGAAAAGACGATAATAGTTCATATCAATCTTGATAAACATGATAATATGGATGATTCGGCAATTATATGAATATTTATATCTCATTGATGAACAAAACATTTTATGTATTTTATTTCAATTCATTTTTTAGTCCAAAATTTATTTCCAATTCTAATATAATTGAAATTGAAGTTTCTTTATGCTTTCATAATTTCTTTCCTTCTTCATTTTTCTGTATAACAGTAATTTTTGGTTTCTTTTTTTTTGAAATAATTGCAGAGAATGGATTTACCAAAATTACAACATCCAAAACAAATTAATGCATGCATGACGGAAACATTATGGAATAGTTTATGCTTTCATGCAAAACGCTGGAAGAATATTGCGAAACATTTGGATAAATTGCAAGATATGCAGGTTTCCATTTCCACTATCAATAACAATGATTGATTAAATTATTACAAAATATTGAAACAAATTGCAGGTTATGGTTTGTTTGAATTAAATTTCATAAATGAGTGGAAAAAATGAGAAAAAAAATTGAATTTTAATTGAATTTTCAACGTTTTTACAAATTAAGATTCAATCTTTATTATAAATAATTGAATGGTCAATAATTTTAGGCATTCTTTATTTTTTAACAATGTTACGAACTAAATGATTTGCTAAATTGTGAATTTAATTGATTCAATTTTCTTTCTTGCATAAAAATTTGAAAAAGAATGTTTATCAGTTATATTTTTGTTTTTCTTGCAACTAAAATCATTTTCTATTAAAATTAATAATTAATAAAAATTATTTTGGAATAATTATAGATCAAACATGGATTTCCAAAATATGTACCACCATCTACCAAAATTTTTGTTGGTGATAGTTTTCGCAAATTATGGAATGATGTTCAAAAATTAAAAGTGGCACGAACACGTGATTGGATAAGTGGAATGTCTTACGAAGATGAACGCCTTGCTGAGAAAAAAATCAATGAATACATAAAGGTAATGATAATTTAATTTCATTCATCATTGTCAAATGATTACTAAACGATGATAATAATAATCACTGTATTGTAATAGCAGTTACAATTTTTTGCAATAATTCTTTTGTTTATGTTTGTTTGAAAGCAATGTAAATATGAAATTACATTAATGCAATATGAATAAGATATTTTTTTACAACAGTATGAATACGATATCACTTTACAGTAATACGAATACAATATCATCTTAAAATGGTATAAATATAATAATATGAATAGGATATTATTTTGAATGTGATATTATTTTAAAGGAATATGAATATGGTGTTCCAACAGATGAATTAACAGAAGATGAATTTCTCAAGCAATTATTATGGTATTCTCAACGACGTGGTGAAGCATTTCTGAAATCGATCCCGACAACGCTCTTCTTTTATAATAGTATGCGAGAATGCATGGAAAACGAGAATGGTGTCTATTTAATTATTGATATGTATGCATATCGTGAAGCTGCTCATAAGTGCGGCTTAAAAAATCGAACGTAATTATTCTGCTAAAAAAAATGGAAAAATGAAATCATAGTGATAAAAATAATAAACAATGATAATAATAATAATAATAATGATAACAACAATGGCAATAATAATCATAATAATAGTAACAATAGTAATAATAACGAAAATGATAGCAATAATGACAATGCTAATGTTAATGATAATGATAATAATGATAATTGTGATGCTTTTGGTGGTGTTAGAAATGTTTAGAAAATTAAAATAATGATAGTGCTTGTGTCATGTAATAATTAATCATGATATTATTTGGTGTAATAGTAAAGAAATAACAAACTGCGACTCTAAAGTAAATTTCAAATTTTAAAAATTACCATCTTGATTTAAATTCGCAATCTACGTCATAACAAAATCAACGCTTGGATTGCTATAATATAGGACAATTCAGAATTTCTATGCAAATTCACATTCAAGTATAATATAATGTACAGAGAAAATTAAAAATTTTCAAATTCCAAAAATCACTTTGAAGGGATTTATGCAAATAATTCCATTTCGCTTGACATTAGTTATTTTTTATTTTTCATTAAAGAAGCAAAAGCAACCGCTAATTGCTTATGGTTTGATATTTACGCTTTCTAGATCATCTTTCTATGTCATAGTATCTTATTAATTTTGACAGTGGTTTAAAAAATTTTTTCCAATTATAGCAATTAACAAAAAGAACTAATTGAGCATTTCAAGATAATCTATTGGTGACAAAAAAAAACTATTATTAAATACTATTGCAAAACTGTTATTAAATACTTTGTAAATTTTGTAACAATTCTTTACCAATTCCTTTCATCACATAATTCATGCTATGGAAAATTTATTCTCATATAACCAATGATTAAAATTTTTCATACTTAAAAATAAATATTCAATCATACAATTTTCTGCCAAAAACAAAAAAACCAATTGAACATTAAAAAGAACCGATCGAACATAAAAAGAACCGATTGAACAAAAAGAAAAATGTAGAAAAGAAGTTAAAAAGCAACAGAGTAACACAACTACAATTAATTTGCATGCAAGTTAATTATATCATTATCATATTTCTAGATAGTATTCCTATAATATCATCGATATAAGAGTTACTGATTATCTTATCTTTGAATTCCCAAAAAATGACATCTTTCAACCAATAGTGTTTCAGTGCAATCTATAAAATTCTCAAGAATTATGCTTATATCAAAAATACCATTTAAATTTAAAATTTTTACAACAATGTTACGTACTTTATTTGATTCATTGCAACTGTAGTGAAATGATCGAATAACCATTGATTTTCTCCATTATTTTTTTACTACTTTTATTTATCACATTTATTTGCAGAAAAAAAGAAAAGAAAAGAAATTTTTGAAAAAAAAAACAATTGGTTCATTGCAAATTAAAATTAATTGATTGCAAATCATTTGTTCCCATAAATTTCTACAATTTCACCTATTTTTATATTCCTTTTTTTTTTATTTATTTGTTAACTAAAATAAAGAATGAAAAAATGTATTCATAAATGACATATATGTATTTCATTCCTATTTCATTTTCGTTTTTTTTTTTAGTTCTTCCATTCA